TGAAGATGATCAGGGAGCTGGAGCACCTCCCTGTGAGGACCAGCTGAAAGAGTTGGGGTGTTCAGCCTGGAGAAGAGAAGGCTCCGGGAAGACCTTATAGCGGCCTCCCAGTACTTAAAGGGGGCCTGCAGGAAAGGTGGGGAGGGACTCTGTACCAGGGAGGGTAGTGATAGGATGAGGGGTAATGGTTTGAAACTGAAAGAGGGTAGATTTAGATTAGACAGTAGGAAGAAATTCTTCACTGTGAAGGTGGTGAGGCACTGGTAGAGGTTGCCCAGAGAAGCTGTGGCTGGCCCCTCCCTGGGAGTGTCCAAGGCCAGGTTGGATGGGGCTTGGAGCAACCTGGTCTGGTGGAAGGTGTCCCTATCCATGGCAGGGGGGTTGGAATTAGATGATCTTTAAGGTCCCTTCCAATCCAAACCATTCTATGATTCTATATGTACTTTTCTGCTTAGTAATTATCTGCAGACCCCCTTTAAAGCAACACATTTTATTAAACTACAAATTAGTTTTACCTTTAATGTAAATTTAAAAAAAGTTACTAGTTACCTTACTAAATAGAGATTGCTCTTTTTTAATTATTTGATTAATAGGTACGAAACTACATGTCTATATTTAAAATACCCTAAACAGGAAATCAGCTAAATTCTCAGAACTGTAAGTCTCTTTGGTGAGAGACTAATTGACATAGGATCTAGCAGTTCTATAAAACTATGTACGCTATGGAATGAGTTTTTAATAAATTTAAGTAGCACAATAATCTCAGAGGGCAACTAATGAGCATATTAATCAACAGTTTGTATTAAACACTTCCATCATTTAAAAATCATTTAGCATACCTAAAACACATCTTACTGAAAACTGCCATTTACCTAACCTTTGAGTCTGAGACACTGAAAGAGCTACTGCAGACTAAATTAAAAATACAAAGCAAACCTAGAAATTATTTATATTGAACATATCCTGACATAGCCATACTGGCTGTTGGAGCTACCAGATACACATATGATTCTGCACAGTTTTATAACAAACATGTAAATCTTAGAAAGTGCATTTTAAAGAACACAGCAGATATAAAACAGACTTTAAAACTACTTCTGCGTGCAACTACCTGTAGGCTTGTCCCAGACTTTTATATGCATCTATGAAGTCTGCTTTCTGCTTCAGAGCTTCTTTGAATGATTCAATGGCTTCCTACAGAAAGACACCAACAGAAAAATTTGTCACTTACTGCATTCGTTTTGTTTTAGCATCCTCAGTAGTTACTAGCCATGGGTTTACAGTTATTTGTCAAAACCTTTGGAAGGAACAAACAAGGCATGAATTTATTATAAAATCTACAGAGTAATAATTATCATATAACAAATGAAATATTGCACCATTCTTTACAGTAATGACGGATTTAGCTGGAATTCCTTTGTCTAATATGCTATGGGAATGAGTGATTCTTTTAGCATTTTAATAGAATTCAGAGATGAAATCCCTTCAGAGTTTGCTTTCAAAGCTCAGTCTGGTCCCTAAGGCAAAGCATTCTCTCCTTGTAGTCTTTCTTTTCCATTTATAATACACCTCTCAATGTCTGCAGACCAAGACTCCTTCAAATCTGTACTCTGCCTTTCATTGTTGTATTGTATACTATGCTAGTTGCACAGTTAGCAAACACTCCCTTGAGGGATTAAGAGTAAGTGATCATCTTCACACAACAGCATGTACTGCTGCTGTGAGGAATACAGTGTAATAAAAATAAAATAGCTAAAAACAATTACATGCATATGTTCAAAGAAACCTCCCTCTTCAAAGACTTTGATTCAGAACTCAAGTTTTTATACTGGCTACATAAATTGACAAATGCAGTACTGAGCCTTAGAATTAAGGATGGAATAATCAACTACTTTATGTTCTGATGGAATGCCTGAAAAGCATCTTGAAGTCTATACTGCAATAAATTAAATGCTGTAAGGAAAGAATCATTAGTATCTTCAGTCAATTTAGAGATTCTTATCCAGAAAAACTATCAAATGTATTCTGAGCACTACAATACGCACAAAAATTTCTACTGAACAAAAATACAAAATAATAATCTATTAGCTTCATGTGCTCTAGATGAGTTTTAAATCCAAGAAGATTATTCCCAAAAGCAATGATCCAAGAGCAACAATCTCCTTCCACTCAAAATTGAACACACTGACACCCTCACCTCAAATCTCAGTTTTCAGCAAGCCTAGCAAAACCTACCAGATGACATGATTAGTCTTCCTTTAAGAGGCAGACTGAACCTGAAGCTAAGGTATACCTCAGGATGAAAACCACTCAGTCACAATCTGTCAGAACTTGAATATTAAAGAGGGAAGATACTTTCTTTGAGAAAAAGTGGGGGGAAGGAGGTGGTGGTGCAGAAGTGTGTTGATCTGCATATCAGAAAGAAGAAAACATTGCTTCTGTTTTGCTAATTGAGAAATTATTTATCCTTGTCAGTTATATTTTCACCATCACTTTCTGGGTTCTCTGCTGCCTACACCAAAAATCAGAAATTTGATCAGGCTATTATTTTCAAGTAACTTATTTGACTGCAGTAAGATACAGACGTTCAGTTCAATGATAGCCTGAAGTTCTCACAGCATACACCGAGAGTGTGGAAAAAAATACCAGCTTGGGTACTGAAAAAAAAAACAAACCACACCACTGGAGAAGTAGACTGTTTGGTAAGAAAAGAAAAAAAAAAAAACACCACAAACAAAACAACACCAAAACCGTGCAGTGATGGCCTATGAAAGATACTGTTTGTCTCCAGGTTCTGTCAGGATTTCTTCATACAACCCTTAATGAATCCCAAGCTGTTAGCAGAGGTTTAAAAAAAAAAACAAACAAAACATCCACTCTGTTGGAATTTAAGAATCACATAGTTGCGTCCTCACTTTTCAAACTGAAGAATTCAGACAACCTGTCTAATTACTCTCTCCTCAGAGAAACTGCAGAAGTATCTCTAAATACTTTACAAGCAAGAAACAGGTGCAATATTACTACACATAAAACATAGAGAAATCTTGAGTTAGAAAATGGTGAAACATTTAAAAAAGCATAGGAAGAACTTACTTCCCTGATGATTTTAGAATCTGAGGGAGCAACTATATTCCCTTAATTTAGATACAAGCATTTCAGAATCAACATATAACTGATATACACATGCACAGATGTAGGGCGCTCTATCAGCAGTTTCCTTGATTACCTTCTAGCTCATTCAAGGAAAAATTCAAAACTATTTTCCTCTTCATCCCTTTCCCCTTCCCACAAAACCTAGGGAGTCTCCATTTCATGGAAAGATAGAAGGAGACTGAGGGGTGACCTCATCAATGTTTATTAGTACGTAAAGGGCGAGTGCCAGGAGGATGGAGCCGGGCTCTTCTCGGTGATGGCCAATGACAGGACAAGGGGCAACAGGTGCAAGCTGCAGCACAGGAGGATCCGCGTTAACATAAGGAAAAACTTTTTCACTGTGAGGGTGACAGAGCACTGGAACAGGCTGCCCAGAGAGGCTGTGGAGTCTCCTTCTCCGGAGACATTCAAAACCTGCCTGGACGTGTTCCTGTGTGACCTACTCTAGGTGGTCCTGCTCTGGCAGGGGAGTAGGACTAGATGATCTTTCGAGGTCCCTTCCAACCCCTAACGTGCTGTGATTCTGTGAATATAATCATGCAGGTAAGTAGCAGAGGTGCCAGATACAAACACCTTTCAAAACAATCCATAAACATGTCAGTGATCGTTGATTTACCAAGATCCAGCAAGACCAGCAGTATTTATACGTCGTATCATGAAGTATTACAGTCAGCAATGGCACCTTTTTCATTTCGCTTGCACTCTTTTGCCTTAAAGTCTTCCTTAAGTGATATAAAATATATGTATATCAACACCTATGATATTTCTACTATTTCATAGAAGTAACTTCAAATAGGGGGTATTGTTCTACATGAACTATTATTTAACATAACTTTACCTTCAAAAGTCCTCTGTGAAAAAAGGTTAAGCCTTTATAAAGCATAGCTATAGGCTGATTTTTGTTCAATTCCAAGGAGTGCTGAAAATCTTCATGGGCTGTTGCATAATCCTATAACAAAATATATTTTTTAGATAACAGAACTTTGTTTAATACATAAAGTCAGCCTCAGGGATAAGCAGCAACAATTGTCAACTGCCAGTCAGAATATCAAAGAATAAGGAATGCACAATACACTTCCAACTTTTACAGCAAGTGCCATATAAAATGTAGTAAAGTAAGTGGAAAAATAGCTGGAAACAGAGCGAAATCAGAAGACTATAAAGTTGGAAATCAGCTATTTAATATTCACACAATCTTTGAGATAGTTACTTGCTTTACATCAAAGTGCAAGAACAACAACAAGATTACATAGCAAAATAGGATGTTAGCATTTCTGTAGGGTTTTTTTGTTTGCTTGTTGTGTAGCGCGGTGGTTTTTTAAGTATATAGGGCAGTTACTGCCTTGGCCATAACTGTTTTCCTTTTTAGACTGGCATTTAACCATACTCCTCAAATGCAGCTGTAGGTTCTAAATCAAGTCGAATTCTTTATCCGTATCCTACTCCTCAAACACATAAAACAATCCAAGATGTGCATGCAAGGTACTTGCCCTCTGATTCTCTGCATTAAACAGATATGCAGATGAAATACTTGAAGAATACCTCCGAAGTGTCAGAAAAGTCAATTACAGGAAAATCAGGACTTTTGCTGTTATTTTGGGGTTTTTTTTAATTTAAATAGGAAAAAAAGCTCTCAAATAAAAACAACAACTGGCACAAACAACAACAACAAAATAATCAACAACATCCACACAAACAAAACCAAATAGAATCCCCAAAATTCACTAACCTCAGATATGAAGTAAAGGGTACCTCTGTGCCTGTAGAGCCGTGCTGATGGTTGTAGATGAATAGCTTTGGTGAGATCAGATAATGCTTCACTGATTCGTCCTAGTGGGGACAATATCTAAGAGTATAAAACAAAAACATAGTTTAGAGCAAACAGGCTCAATAGATCTGTTTCAGAAGCACAAAGAATATTCTTTTCCATCTTCACCTGTAACACAGTAACTGTATTTGCTAAACTAGCCTTTCTAGCAAAAGGCTAGAAAGTTCTACGATAAATTTCAGTACTTATTTCTTTTAAAGCCCTATCAAAGGGAAAATCTGAAAGCATTTTTATCCAAAAAATATCAGTGCAGATGAACATCACCAATAACATTTGCAGAAACCTAGTATTCCAAAACCAAGTCAGCCAAAGCAAAATACTCTATTTCAAGTTACTTCAAATTCAACTGAAAATGCAATTAAGATATTCTCATAAATGTTTTTATTTTGAAAAAACATTCTCCCCAATGGGAAATGGTCTATTTTCCAATTATTCCAATGCCTTTCACACTTTCAGATCAAGAATATTAACAAATGTATTAATAAATCATTAAAACCATGAAAAATGTGAAATACAATTTCAGATTACGGCGGTTGTTATATGATTTTAATAAATACTTATGCTTTCGATTTCTCTAGAAAGCTGCTTCTTGAAATCCACATTCTGTAACTTAACTGGCAAAACAATACATGTTCTTCAAAATGGAAAGTATCTGTCTATCTGAATTTTTAACTTACATGCATGAATATAAACCCAAAACATTTAGTTAAAAACTCATCCTTTACAAGTTTGGCATTCTACCAACTAGTCCTAACAATAAATTTACTAAGGTGACACTAAGTGCAAACAGTAAAGTTCAAGCGACATTTTGATTCATTGTATTGAAAAAAAAACCCAAAACAGACACGATCTTGCTATGTAGTATGTCAAAACCTAAACACACATAATATATGCTATTCTATTGGTTATAGTAACTCTAAATGGTGTATGCTTCATTTTAAAAATAAACATTCCACAAATTACTGTTTGAGAGCAAATATGTAGATTTTAAAAGAAAGGAAGAATGTTCACAGAAAAACACAGGTAAGAGCTTTAGTCATTAAATCAGTGAAAAAATACTTGAAAACACCATATAATTGCAACTTCTCCAAAACTCTGAAAAGAGACGAAAAACACTCACTTCTGCTCGTTGTTCAAATACTTCAGGATGATCTGGTTCTAGACTAATCACCCTACTGAGCTCAAACAGAGCAAGTTCAGCATTTTTCATATCCTGAAAAGCAGAAAAATAAACCAGGTGAACAACTGTGCATAGTTGAGAGTAATATACTCTGAAGACTGAAAGACAACTAAATTGGCTAAGTTTGTGAAAGCCTGTCAGTATACATTAAAAGCCTTTCACACCTTTGCTGACAACATTAGGAAGCAGTATTCCACAAACATCTTTAAAAACCCCACCTATCTGCTATGAACGAGAAAAATAAGCTTTGCTTGTACACATCATCTTTGTGCTGTACTTCTAATAATTTATTAATACAACTCTGTGAACAATCATTAGGTTCATGGCTCCATTGGTACCTTTCTTGTCAGCAAAGCTGGCTCAAGCGCTCACGTGAACTCCAATACACACACATACTCTCACCCACCCATGTTTTCATCAGTACTGTCTGTAACTTAATCCAAGTAGTACTGGTGAATGGGTGGATGTCATCAGCATCTTGCCTATCTAAATTTTTTTATTGCCTCAATAAACTGTAGGATGGAAGCAGTTACTTAATTGGAAAAAAAAATCCAAACTGGTTGTATAGCAAGTTCTCTATTAGAATTCATCGGTCGTTTTCTGCTTTACCAAAGCAAAGAAATTTTGCATTTGCTTAACATCATCTTTGTCTTGAAAGTGTTCCTCACAGAAACTTTTACAAAGTGAAGCTGTCTTGACATCTAGCCAAACTGAGAAAAACTCATGCTGATGTTAAAAACATGCAAATATAAGGCACTTCAAGCTCCTGTCAGCACCACTAAAGAATTTCCTCACACAGGAAATTTTCAAGGAGTTATTCAACTATTCTTTCTTCTAGAACTCCAGCAACCATTCAATCAAGATTCAACAGTCCACAAATTCAAACTACAAGGATCATAGTCTACTTTAAAACTTATTTTTGCTTATGAAACTGTTTGAGCAGTCAGCTGTAACTAAGTAATTTAACTTTGAATTTTTTTTTTTTTTTTTTTTTTAACAAATTCAAGGTGGTACATGTATGAAGAGGAACAGGCAATCAAGAAGCAATATAAAGCCTACTGGACTGCAAGAGCTGACAATGTTTCCAAGTTGCAGTAAAAGACTTTTTTGTTTCCAAATACAGGATAGATGCGAGGACAAATTCAGCAGGAAAAAATCTGCCTGTTATCTCACTAGATAACTCTTTCAAGTGGCTGTGGCTCCCAGCCTTACTACCCACCACTCACAACTGTGCCTGTTATTTCCTTTGGCACCCTCGCTTCATGTGGCTCTACTTCCGCAGTCCCACAAAGCAAATGTACTCATGACTTGAGCAGTATGATCCACCAGATCTCTCTGTGTTACGGAGCACCTACCAAGGGACTGACACATCACTATGGTAGGACAGCACAAAGACTTTGGGATGTATCTATCAAGTTTAATCACTCTATATCCTTCTTTATAGTTTGGATTCAAATAATTCAATCAGATATTTATTTCTATAAGATTTAAATACTTATCTACTCACATGTAGACCTTTTTTTCCATATGCTATCCCTCGTCCATAAATTGCACTAACCAGCTCTGGTTCTTCCTGTTAAGATTAAAAATAAATACAAGGATCAGTTAGGTTTTGTTGTTTGGTTTGTTTGGTTTTGTTTTGTTTTGTTTTTTTTTAAAGGTATCTTTCTTTAATATGTGTTTAATTGTCACTGATCTTAAGTAGTAAGCAATGAACAATCACAGTTGTCAGGCAAAGAAATTGATTGCATCACAGTACATACTTTCACACTCTCACAACTTCCAATTACATTTACTGGAATTGTTCTGGAATATTTGTCTGGAAAATGAGCTAAACAGAGTGCAGTTATAGTGTCGGTGACCACCTATCGAAAGCTATGTATACATTAGTATAGTCTGTTGTCCAAACTTCATTACTTGTAACCTTATTGGTAATTATAGGACTTCTTTTGTCTAATGTCACTGAAGTGACAATAAACAAATACAATTCAGCCATTCAAAGCTTGTTTTAGACATACTTTAAGATTTAAAATTAGGAAGCAGGAAATCAGGACATCCTGACGAAATCTGTATTCAGGCAGCAACTGAAACTAGATATATTCTGCCAAAACAGTTCTGCAAAATTCAAACAAACCGCCATTGGGTTAGATTTAAGTCCCTGGCTTTCCAACTCAAGCACTTAAGGGGATGCATCTTACATAGTGATTTTACTTCTCGTTCAGTGTTACTTACTCCAGCCACGGTTTACCATCCAAATTTGAAGAACTACAACAGCAAAACCTTTTTCCTCGGCACAACAATGCCTATGCTGTCCATTTCCCTGAAAACCAGTCAGGAATCTCACATTGTCACACCTGCAACCAACCCAGCTCTGCTACAAGTTTGTAGCATAGGCCTGGTCTCATTTAACTGGAACAACTGTCAGGAAACAAATTCTTTCATTGACAAAACAACAGATACGTGTCACACCAATGCTGGCAGCCTGCCAGACTTGAGTTGCTTCCAAGGGTACACTTGCCAATGTCAACTTCAGGTAACTTCTCTACTTTTAACACAGCGGCTAAGCAAGGCTGTTTTGTTCTGTTAATGTTTTAATACTCACTTTATATGCACTTAAAATTGCCTTATGGAAGACAGAGTGAACAATCATAACCATTTTATAGCTTTTCAGGCATACAACAAGCATGATATTCACTTCAACTGAGATATGTGCATTGCAAAGATACTCTATTCTATACATGCTTCTCACAATGTCTTCCTACAGTCGCTCTATCTGGCTTATCTTCACTTACATTAAGTTTCCTTCTAAATAAACTGAAGGCAGGAAACATCTAAGTCCAGTGGGTTTTCTCTTTACGGTGAAAAAAAAGTAATTCCTCACATTAAAAACAAATCAAAGATAGAGATCACTAAACACCTAAAACAAACAAACAAACAGACCCCCCAAAACCCCATTGTGATCCTCTGATAAACTCCCTAGAATAATTCCATTAAATTGTCATGCTTTCCATCAATTTAAGTATGAGCCATATGACATTTGAGTTAAAAATACATGTTACTATTTGCAGTACTACTTTCAGCTTGTATTTGTGTACTACAACCAGTTTAGATCAGTAAGTACGTCCACACTTCAGGTAGTCCCAGGTTCTGAGACATAAAAATACAGTATTTTGAAACCAGCTTCACTTGAAGCTTTTAAACTGTTGGGGTTTAAAAATGGCTCCCTTCTAGTTCATGTAAGAAGATTTTGCATTCTTTACCTTTGTCATAAAAAAAAAAAAATAATGTTGAAGTAATAGTTTCATTTTACTTATGCATTAAACTCATCAAATGCTTACCGCTGAAGGCGGCTGATCACAGCAAACAAAATCATTTATCATCGTGAAAGCAATGCTGTACTTGCCACTAGCAGTAAGTGACCTCTGTGAGGTTTTTTTTCTGATGTTACTGCCAACATGCTGTCATCCCAAAAAATCCACATTAAAATATGTCAGCCTACACATTAAGACAGCAATTAAAGGAAATTCAATTTTGCACGGGTCAGGTTTCTGAAGATGCTTTTTGTTAAAGTGCCAAAAAAGGTTTATTCCTATGGATGAGAAAAACACTCACCAAATAACCAAGACACTGAATCACTTGATTTTAAGAGTATGCTTATGTTTATATGGAAAAGAATGAACAAATAATAGAATCGCTCTCATTTCAAAGTCCTTAATTGAATCTTTGTTTTAGTAAAAACTGCGTGTTGTAACAGATAATTTCACAAAGTGACTTTTTTAGGGGTCCAAACAGAAAACTTACCTGCAGCATTGTTGAAAAATGTCGTATGGCTTCATCGTACAAGCCGTTGCCAATCAACACGTAAGCAATTGCTAACAAAACATTACAAATTTAAATAAAACAGAAAAAAAAATTGTTTTTAAAATACATTTTACAATTTGGTTGTATTTACTAAAGTTCCCATATTGCACTGAAGATTTAAGTAGTCAAATGATTTCTGAACTGCCACTAAAATGAATTCCCTCAGTCATTACCTAGCATTCATTAATTATTCAAATCATACTGTGCTCATCAAATTTGGTTTGGGTTTTGTCATTCGTTTGACATGTTTATCCTCTCCTTTTTCACAGGCTGTCAGGAAAGGGTCCATGCTTCCCTCTGAAGCACCCAGGACCAGGAAAGTTACCATGATCCCATTTAGCAGCCCTAGATTCCTTCTCAATTGTAAGTGAGCTTGGCTAACACCGGCTAACTTTTTTTGATAATTCCATCACAGAACATCTGATTGTACTTGTTTGTACACATTTTGCTGAACTTCATTAGCTCACAGTAAGTTTTTTTCCTTCATTTGAATTATCTAGAAAAACCTCAACTAAAGTGATCCCATTGTTTCTGAAAATGAGATTGAAAGACTACAGAATCTTTATCCATGTGAAAATTAAGAAAAGCTTTCAAGTTCTCCCGTATCTCCCCACTTTGGAGTGGAGGCCAAGTGTTTGAAAAAGAAACAGACAACTGTTTTAGAAACATGTTCCTGTAATCTCCACAAGACTTAAAAATAGTGTCAAGTCACAAGACTGGAAAGCTGTGGTTGTACTTGCAGGACTGAAGTTCAGTTCTGACAGCTGAATATCTCAAGATTGTTTCATTTCACATGTTTTAATCTCCCACGGTTCTCTGGACTCAGCTCTGTCTACACTGCCCACAAAACCCAAGTATCTTGCAGACCAGAGCTACGAAAGTTAAAGCACAACCTTTCCCCAGGCAGTTCACACGGATAGCTGACAGTGGAACTAAGAGTGGGAATTCACCGTTCCCCATACTGCTAATGAGTTTTAGCAGGCATCCAAACAGAATGGAAGAGGTGCTTATCAGCTTAATTTTCTACTCAAACATGAAAAGAGACCAACAAGCCAGTTAGAGTAAAAGTATTTTTAAGAGGACCCAGACATTTATCTTTCATGCAGGCAGAGCCACATTGTTTTGGCAATGTCGCTAAGCACTTTTCATTAAAGGAGGAAAAAAGTTAAATGAAAGAGAAGGAAAAAAATCATTTAAGCCTCATTCCTGGAGCATTTCTATTATGCAGAAGGAAGTATTTGTGTATAATATAAGCTTTTTCCTCAATACATAAAAAGCTTCACTTGGTGCAGATACATAGCATTACCAAAAAAGGACAGAAAATTGGCAAAGTGAAGGATGGGTTGAAGAGCTCTTAGATTTTTCTCATTTCATTCTCCTCCAAGACCACACAGTTCTTACTATCACCTTTACGGTTCCAATCCCAGAACAGCTGGCACGTAAAATAAAATCAACTCAACCATGCCAGCATTAAGGAAAAAAATGGAGGAAGCAAGATAATGAAGACTTATTGTCTTGCCAATAACGAGTTTATTTTGTTTATCCAAGACTCTTGGCAAAATGCAGGATGTCATAAACTACATGTGTGAAACTATGGCAAGTGACTGGCAGCTAGTAGCTGATACAGTATTGGCTTCTTTTTAAATTTTATCTCTTGTTTAATCTTTTCATCTTTAATTAAACACTACCAAAATACAAGTACTTCATTATGAAAAATCTAAGAGTTAACAATGGTCCATTAGCCCAAGTATTTGGGTACCAACATCGCTTCAGAATGTCCCACACATTTCATGCTACTTTTCCTCAGAACAGTTAAAAGTAACACGCACAAACAAGAAGGATGCAGGCTCCTCACACTATGACATACTTGAAATAAAGTGGGTAGGTAGATGCCAGCCCACAGGACAAACATGAAGATAGGGACCTTCTGGCATAGTCTTCCAGGTCTACAGAGCAGATACTAAAAGCATCAAATATTTTCTGCTGGATGGAAGTTCAGCATTCCCTGCAGGGTTCTATGAACATAGTTAGGCATGCTAGAAATACGAAAAAAGATTAAGCCCCCAAATTTTCCTGGATAAATCTGTGAGGGTGAAATTATTTCAACAAAAAACTACTCGACTGCCTTAATTTCATTAGACAATTTATGAGTAAAGTCTCCCTTTCTGCTTACACATGAAAGAGTCTTCTGCCCTCCTTGACATACCTCCACAACCACCTCTTTGCTGTCTCATAATACCTCTGCTTCCTATAGAGGACACGTTTGGAGAAGCACTGCAAGTAACTCCTCCTCAAGTCCTTTAAGAAAAGTATTTTCTGTTGCTTTATTTGAAATGTCTCCATTTTCCACACTGAGTATGCTTTGAAAAAACATCAAGTAGCAGCCTGTATTAGGACATAATTCAGAAAGCCTTCCTGCTCCCTGCAAGTGTTGATGGGAAGAGCGGATGGAGAGGGGAAGATAGATCCAAGATCTATGCTTGATAGAAAGCATATTCCATTGGTCAAATTTTCCGGACGTTTGAATAGTTTTAGTCATCAATAATGACAGAAAAAGGGAAGCAGGAAGTAGCTGAGACCATTTAACAGGATTTAATCAAAATGCTTTTTGAGTACTTGCTTAACCAGACATGGTGAAGAATTCTAATGAGCAAAATAGAAAAGATTTTTAGGAAGAGATACATGTTTTCTTTGTATGACCAGAGAAAACTGACTGTATTTTCAGGATTATTAGGATCATTTTGAAATTAATGCATCAGTAAGTAATCATCAGCTTAGTTTCAAAACATTCAGTGCTAACACTTAGCATGTAATTCACCTGCACAAACCTTATATAAGGCATCTTACCCAATTCTTCATTTGTGTTGTCATTATCAGTAGCAAATGGAAATCGTTTTTGCTCTGCAAGCAACTTCGCTTGACTCTGTAAAACATCATGTTTTTGAAGTGTTCAGCAAACAATAGTAAAGAATTTAATAGAAAACCCGTGTCTTAAATCCTTAAGAGGATGCACTAAATCAAAAATATAAGACTAATGTGACTGTTCAGTTCCCTTAAAGCAAATTCATTCCTAGTCTTCCACAGGAAGAAAAACTGCTCTTCAGTCAGGTGCTGCTATTACCCTCTCTAACATAAGGCTAACCAAACCTTTCAGACGAAAGGACATTGCCAGCGTTTTACCAGTGGCTGACATTTCTATATTACATCTGCCTAACATGTAGTTTTGGAAGTCTAAGACGCATGCTACTTCATAGGAAAGTACCTCATTAATTACTCCTTTGTCTCCTGCAAAGGGAAGGGTACTACAGAAGAGTAATAAAGACAAGTTTAAACTTAACAGTGCCATATTAAAGTAAAGAGGTTATCCTTTTAATGGTAACTTTCTACCAGTTAAGGCTAGATTGTCTGAATAAAGTCTATATTTAAGATTTCCATTCCCCAAATAATCCATCTACAGAAAACAATACTGCCAAAGACAACCCCTCAGAAATATAGAAATACTCTACCCTGTTCATTTTCACAACTGTTTTCCACAGAAGCTGTAAGCCTACCAGAGCAGTTTACGCTAGAAAAATACAAAATGTTGATTTAATTAATAGGCCTTATAAACTGGTTTAGGAAGCAAGAAGAGGAAAAAATAACTTCTCTCACTGCTTAGTTCTCTTCTTTTGCTTCATCTAAACAGCACATACATACATCTTCAACTTCAGAGGAGACAGTAAAACATCTTAAACTTCAGGCAGCATATTTAACTCGTCATTTCCTCTACTGAGAGGACAGCACTTTGTTCTCCTCCCTTCCACTTTCATTGGCCTGTTCAAAAGTAGCCTTGTTACTTGTGTCCATGATACAGACATTTCAATGACCTACAAAGCGCAAAAGGAACAGGCCAAATCCCATTGCATGGTTTCTGCCCTGTTCATCTAATAATCTTAGGAATGAGAAGAATTTTTGGTCTGCTCTAAAAACTTGAGTATTTTGGAGGGTATGAACAATTAGCAAATCAGGTTTTACAAACCTTGTTTTTACCAAAATTAGAGATCATGTATAAGCTCTACATTACACTATAACGTTCTGAGAATTATTACTCCACCTACTACTGCACCTACAATAACAGAATGGAAAAGTTCTTTTCCTCATAGAAAAAAAGTCATTATAAAACAGCACAAGAATGAGCAGGGTTCAACAGGTATACCAGTTAGAGAACTAAATCTACATTGCAGACCATATATATTTACAAATCACACACCTGCAAACACAACCTCATTGTATCATCAATAGCCTTCAGGCAATTTCCAGAAAACCTACTACAGAAAGTGATCATCGATATTTAACTCTGCAAAACATTATTCTTCTATAACTGTCTTAATGTTAGGAAAAAAAAAAAATCATTTTTCCCGAAGTACAACCTCTTCTTTGGTGGATTTACAAAAAAGGCCTACTCTTGTGTGTGGAAAAGATGAGATATAGCAAGATTCCACACTGGGTGTTGGAAAATAGTTACAACCAAAAGCATGGGGTACTACACTACTATCCTATGAATTACAGAGCTGCATATGACACTCAGCAACAGAAGTACCACACAGTTTCCTCCACCCTCATCTACCTCATCTGTTTTGTTATCATAGAATAACAAAACAGTGTTTGGTTCTAGGGGTGGGGGAGGAAGGGGATTCATACTTCAACAAATTCTTAATCCAGTCACAGGTTAGACATACTGCAACACACCAAAATTGCAAGTCATTCTGCCTTCACGAGAGAAGAATTTTCATGGCAGCACCAACTCCTAATAGGCTGAATTGTTTTTCTCTTCAAAACAATTTCTTTTTTTTCTGAAACAGGGAAGTTTCTTACAAACAAATGTACATTTCACTGCCTTAGAAAGAATTGCTGGTACCACTAGACTAGACTAGACAGAAGATCTGACCAACATCTGCTGAAGTAGTGTCTAAGGAGAATATTCAAGTTAAATAATTGGCTTGGTGGATTTGCAGTAGAGTAGTTTTAATTGCAAATTCCACCTTTGGAGAAGTTGCTTCAAATTAGAACATTTTTTCCACGCTTCCCATGGCAAATAATTTCTACAAATTTGCCAAGGCTTCTTTGTATATTCACATGGGAATTACTTGAAGATTTTCAGTATCTGTGACTCTACTGGACTGAAGAAGTAACATCAAACCTGTGTTCTGATGTAGACTGAAGATTATATTTATTCCAGATCAATAAATTAACAGTAGTGTTGCAAGAAAACCCAAATTCCAAAATAATCTCCCTACCAAAAGATACTACTCTTTTGTTAGCTTATTGTCCACATACCATGTCTGTATTACACTTAGTGAAATAGGGTCTGAAGCCTCTATCACCTGTGCACAATGTAATTTCTGTAGCAATTGCAAATTATCGCTCCTACTCTTACACACATTTTGTGGTAAACCTCCCCAGATAGTTAATCTGGGTGAAAACTAAGACACCTGTCCCTTTTTCAGCCATAGCCCCTGCACCCCTAACAATAAAAAATTAATTGGTAGACTAATCCAGGTGAAGGTTAACCTTCAGTGGAAACATCAGCTTCAACTAGTTTAAACTGCTGACAGCCCTAGAGACTCACAATGGAGTACTACGAAATCACACCTTCATGAGCAACTCAAGTTCATTCATACTTAAGCCTTTTGGGGACTTATGACTACTGATTAATAGATTCTATTTGTAGTTATTTGGCTGAACTTCATTCTAACTGGTTATGCAGCTGAAGTGATCTGCAACTTCAATGACCCACTAAAAATTGGTTTGTACATTATATTCTTGATAGCATACCAGAATTTTTTCAGTGTTGAGAGAAAGCACAGATTCACAAGCTGAAGATCCTCCTATGTCACAGTCTGATTCATGGAAGTGTAAAAATGATGAATCTGGGGGGAAAAGAGAGAAAATACCTTTAGGAACTCAAAGAGTTATATGTATGTTCTATTATCACATCTCACATTTCCTCATGTTCATCTGAACAGCTTCCCCATTGGGCACTCCACAGGGCAGAACTTTCGTGAAGTGCTTTCTGTCCATGGCACTTAGATCTGCACAGCCAGGGAAGCAATAGCTGGCGTGACTGCTTTTATAGAATTAGTTTCATCACTACTTCTACTCAATGCTTTTGGCTAAAAATACATGGGGGGGGCAGGGAAAGGAAGGTGCTAAAAAAAAAAGGCGGGGGGGCCGTTGCGGGATTTAGATAAAAACGGAGGAAGCTGGAAGCAAATAAGAAAAGTTTGGGGTAGACATGTTCCCATTTGGCATTATGATTCCATTTTCTGTCTCTAGAAATTTAAGGCAAAAATTATCATTCCAGTCCCAGAACAGAAAATAAATGGAATGGACCATACAGAGGCAGGGGAAGAGATGCTGCTGGAAGTCCAGGAAACAGAGGTGTAGACTGTAAAAAGCAGACAGAATAGTAAACTGTAATTGACCGAACATATACAAAAGTTCTCATGCATATTACTAAGAAGGCCATTACAAAAAGTGTAAGATTGATTCAAATCCATGAAAAGTCAAATAAGAGTTTGTTGGCATAGCAGAGAAAAAATTTAACAAAGGAAATAAATTAACAAGTAACAACAATAATCAACAAACCCCCCCAGATTGATAGACTATAGAAGTCACTATTTCACCTATGTGGTACTTTAACTGCTATCCCAACAGAATTGTTAGCTTTTAAATCTTCATATCTTAAAGCTTTTATTAACTCAAAATATTTCAAGAGTAAACAAGAAAAAGCAAATAAAGAGCATTATCTCTTTGATTCCATGTCACAAATACCAAACTCTACCATCCCCCCTAATGTTTATAAATATAAGCTTGATGCTAAATTCAAAAGACCGGGGGTGCAGTGGGTGTTTCTAATTCACTGTCACAGGCACTTCTATTCTTATATTTTGATTACATAAGGGTTGCAGTTAGTAAACTCCCCATTTTTCAGAAGTACAGTGCTAAAAGAGAAACAGCCTTCTTACAAAGAGAAGTCAAAATAGTATCTAAAATCGTTCCTTGCAAATAGAAACTTGGAACTAAGTTGAGCCATAAGCAATAACTGGTGGGAGAAGTTTTACAACAGAAGCAAAAGTGCTGAAAAGCAGAAGGTCAAAGTTTAAAGTCGGGGAGTCCTGTAAGAACAGTGGCTCACCACCCATAGTTTCCAGAAAAAGTGTTGCCAGCAAGAGGTTTCAACACTGCCCTTTGTTCTTCACGTTGGCCAAACTCTCCTGTACTATGGCAGCATTATTAACACATTACTTGTTCTGTGTGGTGCTCATAAGTTAGTGACAGTTAAGAGCCATTGCTGTGGACTCACTGAGCAATTTTTGCTTCACAAACCAAAACAAAGAGGTGCAGGTATGGTCTATCTCCAGAATAATTTTCCACATAACAGCAAGAATTTAGTGAAGGAATTTTTTAATAAGGTGGCAGGCAAGAAGAACAGACTACCTGTTACAAGCTATAGGGGGAAAAGGACCCTTCAAATCTTGGGGCAACAATCTGCTTTACTCACAGGAAAGAACAGATCTGCCTTTGCCTGCAGGATAGATGCAGTCCAACCTGTACCACGCTGCCTCATTAACAATGTTATGAAAAAGCAGAAACACCAACCAGAGAAATTACCGTGGACCTTGTAGGAGGTTACAAGAGAAACCATGTGAGATAAAAAGATTCTCAGCTTCTGGGAAAGCTGTACTAAAGCAAAGACTGAGAGCTTAAGGGAATTTTTCAACTGGCAATTTATTTAGCCACAGGATTTAAATAGCAAGGAGTGAACCAGTATACACCTATTTCAGTGTAAGTATGCTGTTCTGTAATTACGGGCTATCTTATTATCAGTGTATGCGAAGTACCCAAGGTACCTGATGATTTAAGCAGAATTCCTTATAGCAATCCCAGTTACACTGGTCTCTTTAAAACAATATTCACCATTAAATCAAATCTAATCTTCCAAATACACCTCTGAAGTAGTATCCCGAGTCAATCATTCATATCCTAGTAACAGAAGAGATGTAATCAAATGCTTTGCCATTTATTAACTTGTATGGTATACAGATTTTATCTCAACGCTGGGTGAAGGTCTTTTTGGTTTTATGCTTAAGCTTGAAATGATTTGGAGCAACGGTCACCTGAGAACTTTCATGATCTGAATTAGTGTTTACATACTATGGCTCTCAGCCACTGTAGCCACCCAAAAAAAAAAAATAAAGCAGCTGATATAAAATACCTGTTTAACACTGCTGATATAGATAAAAACTAATCAAAGAACTTTTAAGCTGTGATGACAAAAGCACACATATAGAGGGGAAAAAAAAAAAAGTAGGAACTCATAACAAGGTATTTCTAGGAAGTCTGTAATTTTGAGTGGATTACACTAGCTGCATATTGTCCTTAGGGACCACAGCAATTGTTGATATGAACATGGACTTCATGAAATAAGAAGAAGAAAAAAAAAAAACCTGCAGACAGCTAAGTAGTCATGACACATCACTCGTTATTCTCACGTAAATGCGAGCGTCTCTATATTGCACTGAATTGATAAAACTTTTTTTCTTTATCTGTATTACATGTACATTGTGATTCAGACTAGCATTTTTGTACTGCAAGTTCACACTATGCTCACAATGAAAGACTGTAACAGATTACTCAAGTCATACGATCCTGATGCAACAGATATTTAAGCACATGAAAAATAGTTTTAACGGTGCCTGTATTACAACGCATCAATTAACTTGAAAAAGACCAGATCTGCTACCTGAACTTGGCGCTCGTAAAGCACCCAGTTCACCAGCAAAATATATACAACTGTAGCCGAAAATGAATTAAGTTGTATTCGACTCAATAATACAAACACGAGGGGTTGGCACTTCTGTGCGCTGCTGAGTGCTGTGATTAAAAAGCACGCAGAGTCCAGCGGCTCGACTTGGCATGTTGGCGAGTGGGACAACAGGAATCTTCCTGCGTGATGCTACAGGCCCTACGGTTCACCCGTTCAAGGGGCGAGGGCTCTTCCTCTGCTCAGCGCCGCAGCGGCAGCCTCTGC